CCGGCAAGACTTTTATTAAGTATACAGAAGGATGCACTGAGTTTAGAAGAAAATCACAAGTCTCCCAAAAAAGAAAAGCTATGCAGAGTGTTAATTCTTATGTGTCCAATATCCAGATTGGAATAGCGTTTCCTAGAAGAAACTGATGATATTTATGTATGCGTGCCAAAGTAAAATATAATTACATCTCGTTAACTGGTATGAAAAAACAACCAGCTTAGACATTCCCAGCATTCACGCAACGAGAGCTCGGTCGAACGCCGACTGTGACAACACCATGACCAGTTTACAAAAGAACGTCCTATGCATTTCAGGAAGTGTTACGCCTTCTATCACTATAGCTTACAACGTTGATTGATTAGAGGAGCATTTACGGGGTTTAACTGCACGCCATTAGGAGAAAATCATGAAGTCAGTGGCAAACAGCAGAAGAATCAATACTAAAACCAATAAATCAGTTGCTAATATAACTTAGAATTGATTCATCATTATTCAGACCTCTGAATACTTCACTGTAAAATATAACTTATACACGTTATTGTTGAGTTGACTAAAACAATTAACGAAAAGCGCATTTTCTAAATTAAAGGTCATTTTCCAGCTGATTCGTTACCTCCGTTGCTATTTCGTCATATATACTCCCGAATATTCAGACGATGTCTTCGCCGAACGATACCGTAAATAGCATAAATGCTACCTATATGTTTTTCGTTCTTGCATTAATTATTTTTTTATCTACCCATTTTGTCTCTGATTTCACGACATAAATCACTTTAAGTCACATAATCGTATATGATTCAAAGACTTGCGTAGGTCAGTGCGAATTAATTCCGCTAACTCGGAGTTTGGATTAGCTCTTGTGATCCTTTTATAATAACAGCTGGCAATAAGTTCCTAAATTATGTCATAAACTCCTGATTTTAGTCGCACCCATAGTATTTTTTCCTATAGCAAACACATTGTTGGTATTGAAAAGTGTTTAAGAATGGCATGAGTAAAACTTGACCGTCATCATCACAGCGATCATATGTATAGATAATTTCAAATTGACTTGAAGTGGAAGGGTTGTTTAGAAAAATGACGCCGTCTAAACGAAAATGTCGTAAATAGTCATCTAATCAGCGTAGGGCCGGTACTGCACCCTAGACACCGATATCACCACGGACGTTCTATTATCAAGTGTCCTACATTCGCGGGCCTTATATCAGAAAAAAAACATTGTGGAAAATTGCAGCGAATCTGCAAGGTAACTCAAAAGACTATGGTTATTCCCCATCGTCGTCCAACAGCATTGACCACGTTCAACACTCAGGCCAGCGTCTTCCGTGAACCCCCCTCCTCCCCCTATATCTGTGCGCCTATGTTAGTTGGTCCTTATGATACAACTTCGACTGCCTTCTGCAAAAAGACTTGAAAGGAAATGTTGAAAAATTATTTAGCATTCCAAAGTGAATGACAGTCATCTAGACGGACCAGGCAATGAAAATTCTAAACAATATCAGTGAGATTATGTAGGACAGGAAGATGTGAAGTAGAATTACTTTGCAAAACGTTTGCAAAATAGCCCCAGCGTTTATTAAAAAGGGGGTGGCAATATATGTAGTATACAACAACTAACAAGAAGTCGACACTTGTGTTAGAACTTCGCGAACAAGCGTTAGCTGAATTTTTTCATCAAGGTATTCAATTATTTAGGAAAGCTCTTGACTCCCAGTTGCTAAATATGCAGCAATTTTTGTATGACTTCCTGCCAAAATAAATGCATATAGTCGATTATGAAGCAGGCTAATACATCGATGGATAAATTCTTGAATGGTGATGTATGCATCTGTATACCGCAGTGCCTGACTTCGCAATTACAATGACCTGTCATCGCCCACTGTCCCCTGAAAACCCCATGCGATTGACGATAGAAATTCTCAAATGACAATACCCGCAAAGCTTGTGGATAGTTTGGTGAAACAGCACAACGGTTGCATCTGTAGTTCGCGTGTCGGACTTTCAGTTGCCGAATGTAGAAGCGGGCAGACGCATCGCAGATGACATTGGCTAGGCTCAGTTTAGTTACGCCTCCCGTCAGTGAGACCCACATGCCACTAGCCAGGATGTCCTAGAATTCATTCATGCAGTCTCAAAGGAAGTCATTAACCTGCTCGGTATTATTATTGCAGGAAAACATTTCAGATACGAAAGGTTGTCCACCAACTGCTTGACTAAGACGAACAAGCAGTAGCCAAAGGCTTTGACCAGATGCTTTGTACAACCTTCTTTCGTACATTTGATATCCGTTTAAGGAATTATAATTGCCTAGAGACGATGCAACTCCCTCCAAAACCCACACCCCAACGTCAAGCGGACATGGCCCTTTTTTCAGAATCTTACTAATGCAAGTTCGAGGAGTTTGCATTAGCGTCTTTGTGCCCTTGGGTACCTTCGCATGATAGGTATGCGACATCTTAAATGAGGCCTTCATTATTGATAAAGATAGCAGCGCTTTCAGGCGAAGTTCTTGGAAATCCGACCGAAAACACTTTTTTTGGACTTAACTCACGATTTCAGGCATTTCTAACGCATATACGTCCAAAAATAACTTAAACGCATGAAATACCTACTCATCGAAAACTGTTGGCTTTGTTCTGGCATTTACAGTTCGCGTGAACTGTCTGTAACCGAAACGTAAGGAAAGCAGGAGGCTTCGCTTCTGCCGTCACGGCATAATACGTCCTCTTCTGACGCATTCTACCTTTTTTAACAGTACTCCGGTTAATTCAGAAGTGCTGAGGTTCTATTTTTACGCAGCACAGAAACAAAAAACGATAGAGGAAGGGTATACCTGCACCCAACACTCATTCTACTTCGAAAGAAAACATTTGGTTATTACAGTTGTTGTAGTCTCAATCAACTTAAAACGTATAATTAATAACATAAACAAATATAGAAAACTATAAAGTCACAAAAACGCCATTAAATTTTCCACCACAATAGCAGCCATTTCTCAACGGGTGTAGGCAATCTGAGCTGGCACACAGCGGATAAACAGATAAATTTAATGGATAAATGTCGCCGCAAGCGGCCAAATTGAACAGAGCCATATATTTATTCAGTTCATCCGGGGCCAATTATGCTGAACCTAAAGGACAATTTTATCCGTGAAATGCTATATTTTTTCACCTAAAAGGCTTACTGTAGTGGCAAAGTACGCACATGGTCTTAAAATATTGCTTCTGCAATATTTTTTAAATGTGCATAAGTATCGAGGATGCTACGTCTCGACTAACCTCCATTACAACGTATGTCACTGCACTTTTATCCAGTTGAGTCATAGTCTTTTAATTCGTAATCATGTCGTTGTATGCACGCAATACGCAACTAGTTTTGTACTGCATTTTGCTATTTAGTTTTCGTTTGCCTCTGTCTTGTCAGCTTTCAGTTCTAATCGACCAATTTTCAATTATTTAAGGAGAAAGCTGCATTTTTGATGACGTCTTTTCTTTATTCATGTTTGATTTTGAAGCAAAAAATGTTTCAGTTATCTCCCAGCCATCTTCTCCCCTAATTGTTTATATGCCCCAACTGCTCACATTCACTTTACTTCGCGACCGATTTGCTTATAAGTCCCACGAGACTAGATGAACTGTGCGCAGCCGGAACTGATAGGGTATACACAAAT